AAAACTAGAATATGTTTCTGTTAGTTAAATTCAATGGTCTCCAATATTCTCTTAATCCAAATACATTGGCATGCACATGATGTTGTAGTTATATATTCTGATTCTGTTGTAGAAAGTGTTACTATTGGTTGAAATATGTGTAATGATGGAAATATCTGGTCGTCAAATGCATGAGACTTTCAACTACTTGCTTGAATAAGGTGACATCTACTTTAGTCCCTGCATCATTTCTGTACAGTTTGGTTCCTAGAACAATTGGATTTTTCACTGCATTACACTCCAACATACCAATTCGAGCTAAGACTTCATTAGCATACTTCCTTTGACACATGAAAATTCCATGTTCATTCTGCGAAATTTCAATTCTAAGAAAATACCCCATTTTCCCTAAGTCAATCATGTCAAATTCTGACATCATGGAATTTTTAAAATCATTACACATATTTCCATCATTTCCGATGTAAACAATGTATGTTCACAAAAACATCTTTCAAACCCATTTTGTATGAAGTAAGCTTCTATTCTATTATACCATGCCCTTGGTGCTTGTTTGAGCCCATAAAGTGTCTTCTTCAGCTTGTATACTTTCTCTTCTTTCCCTTTCTTGACAATTACAACTGACTGCTATACATATATTTCTTCCTTGAGCTCCATGAAGAAATGCACTTTTCATATCTAATTGAAATATGATCCATTCATTTTGTGCAACCACTAAGTGTATGATTCAGATGGTGTCTAGTTTGACGACTGATGCAAACACTTATGTATAATCCACTCCATAGTGTTGCACATAGCCCTTTACTACTAATCTTGCTTTATACTTGTCAATTTCTCCATTTTCTTTAAGTTTGGTCTTGAATACCCATTTACTTCGATAGGTTTTACTCTTATTGGCATCAGTCAACTCCGCTATTTGATTTCTTTCTATTGCTTTCATCTCTTTCACCATTGCATCTCTCCACTTTTTTACTTTTAAGAGCTTCTTCCTATATCATAATTTTCCATCCATATAGGTTCTCTTTTATGCCTTCTTGCCCTCCTTTTAATTTGAATCTTAGGTACTGGAGTACAAGAGTCATTCCAACCATTTGTTCCAACATTGTGTGAATTTGTCTATTATTGTTGATCATTTTCTAATTCATCTTCAAGTTGATTTTTAGTGCTTTCTTTGTGCTCATCCTTTTCAACAATATTATGTTGGTTCACTGCCTTATTATGCTCCTAGTTCCAACTCTTATGTTCTTCAAAAATTACATTTCCACTGATTATAATATTTTTTGTTGATCAAATCAAATAATCTGTATGCCTTAGACTCATTGCTGACTCCAAATAGAACACATGGCTCTCGTAAGACTTCTATTCCAAATATGAAGACACCACTTGGTTGCTTATGGCTAGAAAATCTTTAAAACTTGTCTTTCAATCAACACTGAATGAACCGTGTTCATGATGGTTCGATTCTTTCTTTCAGCAACCTCATTTTGTTGGGGAGTCTAGGCAACAATCAATTGTCTCCTTATCCTTTGACTTCTACAAAATTCTTTAAATATTTTTGAAGGAAATTCACCTCCTTATTAGTTCTTAAGCAGATGATGCTTTTTTTAGCTTTCTTTTCCATGAATGTTTTGAAATCTTTAAAAAGAGAAAAAGTTTCAAATATTTCTCTTAAGAAATACACTGAAGTTTTACATGACAAGTCATCAATAAAGCTTATGATATATCTCTTATACTACTAGATGTTGGCTAGTGGGTCCACACAAATATGCTTGAATTTGTAGCCATTTAGATGCCCTCCACATGCATTTTTTTATATTAAATTTTTGTCTTGTTTTCCAGCTAGACAGTTTGCACAGAGTTCCTTAGAAGTTATGATTGTTGACAATCATGTCACCATTTGCTTAGTAGCAAGATTTTTTAAGCCATTATAGCTTAAATGCCCTAATCTATTATGCTAGAGTTGAGAGTTGTCTTCTTCATTTACCTAAAAGCAAGTTGTTGATTCACCTTTCATGGTTGTTGTCAAGACAAACATCTTGTTTGCACTCATGTAACTTCATAATCAACTCTTTCTCTGATTGAACAATATTGCATTTATTGTTCTGAATTATAATACTTAAACCCTTTTCTTGTAGCTACCCTATACTCAATAAGTTATTCTTGAATTTTGGAACATAGTACACATGTGTAATGACATGTATAATTCCATTCACCATTATCCGAATAGTTCCTTCCCCATATGTGAGTATCATTTCCCAGCTTTACTTTGTGCTAAAAATTCTCATCTAGTTTTGAGAACCACTTTTGTTACCACTCATGTGATTTCTACATTCTGAGTCTAAGAATCATACATCTTTCTTTCCTTCTTTACATTCTACTAAGGTCATCAATAAGACCTCCTCCTCTTGTTCTTCTTATTCCTCTGTTTCAGCATAGTGTGCCTTCGTTTTCCATAAAGGTTGTGACACTTGAAGCATTCCACTTCAACCTTGTTGAATGCTTGTCTTCCTCTTCCTCTACCTTGAAAACCTCCTCTACATCTTCCTTTCATCTTCCTCTTCCATCTTTCTCATTTACCATGATTTACATAACATGTTCTTCACTTGTTGGAAGTTTCATTCTTTGTTCATGAACTAATAAACTACTTTGTAGTTTGTCTATTGTCATGGTATCTAAGTTATTTGATTCTTCAATATTGGAGCACACCACATAGTTGAAATGGATTATTATAAATGACATGACTTTTGCAGTTATGACACTCTCTTGCATACTTTTTCCAACAACTTCCATTCCTTTGAAAATCTTTAATGTTCTTGCAAAATAGGAATTCACGGATTCTCCCTCTTTCATTTGTAACATTTCGAACTCCTTGCACAGGGCTTATAATTGTGCATATTTGACTCATGTTGACCCTTGGAACTTTTTGATCCCATATGTTTTTCAACATTTTGAGAGTGGTATCCACAATGTCTTTATCTATTGTTTGATAGAGATAGTTTTTTATTTTTAAATCCTTGAGCTTCTAGTCCTCCATTAAGTTTATTTTGGAACGACGTTCACTCCATATTTCATCAAATGCCAATATTCTTTTGATCGAAAACAATTCTTCATAAGTTTTCTCCAGTGATCATAGTGTCCATCTAATTTAGGAATTGATGTAAAAACTTTGTTGAATCCACCATTTTTCACCAAATGCCAATATTCCTTTAATCGAAGACAATTCTTCATAATTAAGCTTTATCGAGTGATCATAGTGTCCATCTAATTTAGAAATTGATGTAAAAACTTTGTTGACTCAACCAAATGATGCTTCTAAAAGAGAAAATACAAGTTTTTTTGTTTTACTCACTCTCTACCCAACTTTAATTTAAGAATCCAGGTATCACTCAGAAGTTTCTGGCTTAGATACCAAATTATTAACTCAAGCAGATAAATTAGATTTTTCCTAAATCTAAACGGATACTTCTTATTCTGTAATTATAAATTAGATTGCAATAATTTAAAGAAATATGAAAAACATAAAACTATCCAAACCTACATGGATGGTTACCTAAAAATCGTAACTAAATTTTAGAATCTTATTCCTAAAGAATCGGTCAACATAACTTAATTTTATTGAATCAAATCTAAAACAATTTAAATAGTTTAACTACTAACAATTTCTACTTACCTTCCATCTTTATTGTTTCATATTGGAAATGAAGAGTTAATTTTTTAATTTCTTTTCTGCTTTTTATTTCATATATATATATATATATATATATATATATATTTATTGTGCCCTTAGTAATTGTCCTTAATTATAATATGACAGTTTCGTTCTACACTCCATAAATTTCTTCTCAAGCATGCAGTAAAATAATATTACGTCAAGGAAAAGAAATAACAAAATACTGTTTGTAACACACACACACACATAATTAAATAATTTAATATAATTATTGATTATAATCTATTTATTAATTTTATAAATTTAAAAAACATTCAATAAAAACAACATATAATATATTACAATAAAGTCTCATGACACAACAAACATCAAATTAATTATGTATTGATTATTAAAAAATAAATAATTAATAAAATTTAAATATAAATTTAAATCATATATTAAAAAAATAAAAGCTTATAATATAAAAAATATATATAAATAATATATTCAAAAATTCATTATTTAAACTTTTAAATTGAAATGTCTTCTTTAATTTTGATTTTGATTTAAATTATTATTTTATATACTTTAAAAATATATTTCGCGGAAAAACAAAATTAAATATATTTAGTAAATTATATATTTCAATGTTTTTTTATATAAACAAATTGAAACTTTTTACAAAATGTTTGATTAAAATGTTTCAATATAATTTTTTTACAAATTAAAAATAATTATTTGTGACCAATTATAAGTTAATTACACTTTTTTATATTCAAAATAAATATTTTTTCTAAAAGAAAAAACTCATGTCCTAATGTTAACCCACAGACAATTTTTGTAAAAATTTAGGTTTTCTGGACTTTTTTAATGAAAACTTTTTTATTCTAGAAGTTTCTTCTGATCCTAGTCTATGTGAATCAAGACCAAACCATGTGGTCAAATTTACAAGTTTACTTCTAACATTAGAATGGGTAAAAGCATTGTCATGTTTATTAAAATTATTCTGAATGTGTTTGCAAACATTTATCTCGATGGGAATTCCTTTGAGATAGATTCCATCTGAAACAAAATAATGCTACAATCAGGGTCAGGTTTGAATATATGTAAATTTGCATTGAGATCTACAAATGACTACGTAAAAACATTCATTCTCAACAAAATATAACTTTAGAGTATGCTAATGCTTGTTTATGACGTTTTAAAAAGTGAAGAAGCACACATTAATTAGGAGATTGAGAAAGAAAAATGGGCAGAGGGTGAGTGCTTCTATAACAACATATATCTTGCAGTACAGTTAAGATCAAAATTGTGACCTCCCTCTCAATCTGAAAAATCCTGATGGCTTTTATTTTTCCTTATCACTTTGATCGTCTCCATTCATGATCCGCATAATAGTCCATAGTTGGTTGCTCTTTGGGACGTTCAGTGTTGCACTTCAGGCAAGCCAAATTTTTTGCATAATTGTAGAAATCACACCTAGAGACACAATAATACCATAAATGACAAACTTTAAATGTGCAAGAAGATAAGGTGGGGAGAGAAGTAGTAAGACAACGAGCTTACTTGGGACAACCCCAATCCCCAGGATATTTCTTGGAACTAGGGTTTGGCTCTTGACAATGCAAACACTTCATTCTACTAGCAAAATTCATGACCCCACACCTACATACATAGGAACATCCATGAAATAGAACGAACTGTTCACCACATGTGCCAACATATCGATTATATACTCCTTGCATAATGGAAGGAATCACATATACACTTAGGTAGGACGGGAAACAAGGTGTTTTCATAATGGAAGAGAAGGATCACTTACTTTGTACAATTCCAATCCCCAGGATGTTTCCTAGGCCTTGTCTCGGGACAATGCAAACATTTCGTGTTCCTAGCATAATTCATGAACCCACATCTGCATGTACAAAAACGTTCATGCAACTGTATACCTTAATTTTAGTCTTCTACTGCTAAACTTGGATATCAATAATTATAATGTAATACAAATTGTGCTCTTGCTCATGTTGAAATTGTAACTACTATTAGCTGAAAATTTTATTGTGATTCACAGATTTAGCTTGAAATGGAAAAGAGTCTTGAAGAATCTATCTACTATCAACAACATTACGGTAAGGTGTTTACATTTCATAATGTAGATGAGTGACTAAAGTTAATGAATTACAATAAAAAAAAAAAAAATCAGATAATTCTTAAGGATGTCAGTTAATCAATTAAAATTCAAATAAATATATGTATGGTCATTAAAATACCCTATTTCCTAATGACCAAAACTTAATCCCTACATCTGTACAACATAAAGCAACGACAGATTGGATATATGGGGCTTAACATACAATTAAGTCTACAATACATAACAATAACTAAATCACGAGGTTGTGTAATCCAATGAATGCACAATACGATCATGTGGATGAGTTTGCTGGAAAAGAACTTGTAAAACTGAGGCTTTGAGGAATTTCATCATTAATGCAAAATTGAGGGACCTAAGATTATTCACAAGTGCCAAATGCAGCTGTCCAAGACAATGCAAATATTCCGGTGAAAGGATAAATGACATAAGTTGAATGGTATTTTTAACAAATATTAGACACATGCTCTGATATTTGAAAGTAAAAAAATATACAAATTAATTAAGAAAAGTCATATTAAATATATTGAATATAATGAAAAACTTGTATGGGATTAATCTCCCTATTGTAAAAAATACACATAAGGTACTTTATTTATAATGAAGGAAATATGGATTAAACCCAAAATGAACTAAAGAATAATACTAAAATAACAAAAGATAAGTAACTAAAGATAAAAGATAAATATAAAATATCTAAGATATCTAATGATGTAAGATATCTAATGATGTAAGATATCTAATGATGTAAGATATCTAATGATGTAAGATATCTAACACTTTCCCTCAAGTTAGTGCATATAAATTGTATGCAATAACCAACGACGGTGACTAGAGCCGGAAAAGACAACGCACGCGTGGCGGCGCGCGACTGGAAAAGACGGCTTCTGCAAACTTTAACTGGCGTGTGGGAGTACGTTTGGACTCCGATGACAATGATCTTGATGGCATTGGGGTTGCCTGGCCGAGACGAGTAAAACAGTGTGGTCGTCGGTCAAAACTGAAGCTCCAACTGTGACGGCAGTGGCAGATGGCAGCGGCAACGTTTGTAGTGGATAACCTTAGACTCTAAATACCATCTTAGACTCTAGATACCATATTGAATATAGTGAAAAATTATATATGGGATTAATCTCCCTTGTGTAGAAAATAAACTTAGGGTACTTTATTTATTAGAAAGGAAATATAGACTAAGACCAAAATACAAATTAAAGAATGATAACAAATTAACATAAGATAAGTAATTGAAGATAAAAGATAAGTATAAGTTATCTAAAATATCTAATAGTAAGAGATATATAACAAAATAAAAGGATCTTTACAAAAATAAATATTTAATGAGAATGAGGAATGAAAAATGAAAGATAATAAAGGAAAGAATGGTGATAAAATATAAAGAGATTAATAAAATGATTATCATATTGATGTCTGAAAGTTATCATTGTTTAAATTTACGGACAGTTGTCAAAATTAAAATTATTGACATGAAATTGATTCATCTTCTATCATAACAAACAAAAACTATAAATTCGATCAATGGGGTTTTCCTAGTCAGTGAAACAGGGAACTCACTGTGGGCAAGTCCAATCTCCTTTTTTCATTTTAACTTCATCGGTAATAGTATTGGCTTCTTTTATTGGCCCCTCTGTTTTGCATTTTAGACAACGTGGGTTTCTGGCAAAATTTAAAAAATTGCATCTGTAATGGAACCAAAGAGCAACCATCAGCACACCAGAAGATACTAATAAGGGGTAATTTAACACATGTATTTGAAGGCAGCACAGTACGAATACAAAATATCGGAAAAATAAAATTAAAATCTTACAATACAAGTCATTTAAGATACTGGTCAGTTTGACATGCATAAATGCACATGAACAGAACGACAAAGAAAACTTGTAAGACAAAAATTAATCAGCAGAGGTTCAGAGGCACTTCATTTAGTTAGATTGTTTTAATTAACTGATGTTATCACATTCTCTTTGAAAAGGAGGCTGACAAACACAGAAATTGACTAAGGCTTGTGAGAAAAGCTAGTAAGCAACTAGAGGACTTACTCAGGACAGGTCCAATCTCCTTGCTTCATTTGAACAATGGGCGGGTTAATATCCTTAGGCTTATCATCCTTACAATTCAGGCATTGGATATTTCTGGAGAAGTTCATAAAATTGCATCTGCAAGAAATTTTGGGTAAAACTCTTGACAGTGAATTATCAAATAGCAGAGATCTAATTTAAGATTCAAACATGTAGCATTTCCACTATAAGAGATATATGTCGAAAGCTAAATCATCCATATTCATGACGAGGAAGAAGGAAGTACATTACTGGGAAAAGGGGATATAAAATGAATCCAATCATCCAGCAGCCAAAAATACTTCAGATTGACTACCATCACTGAAAACTATCACTCAGAAAATAAACTTGGATCATTCACAAAAGGGATATAAAACAAATACACTCATCCCACAGGTCAGTCAACAGTTCTTCTAAATAAGTATTATCACTAAAAACTATCACACTGGGGGAAAAACCTAGTATGACGGACAAAAGGGATATGTTGTAACACAAATCCACTCATCTCAAGTTCAAAAATAAAAAACAATAAAAACAAAAAAATTTATCATGCCAGATCAAAGTAGAATTTGCACTGCATTTTTAAGATAAAGCTTTGTATATATCATATCTAGTATCTGTTATCCTAGCAAAAGATGAGGGGAAAATATAGAAGATAGGATCACTTGCTTGATTTCTGAGGTAAAGTGCCTAGCGGATGGAGAAAATTTACTTCTGCTAGCAATTCCTTCCTAATTTTATGTGAAAACGCAAAAACTGAAAGTTCACGGATTCAGATGCAAAAGTTACTGGACATAAAGCATATGATTCCATGAGAGAAAATAACTCACTTTGGACATATCCAGTCACCTTTCTTCATCTCAACATCTTTAGGCAATTGATTACTTTTAACACTTTGAGACTGGCCTTCTCCCACAGGATCCTGTGCTGTAGGCTTTGAACGAGCAACTGCAGGAGCAGGAGTAGGGGACTCACTCAACTCAATCAGCTGACAGAGAAGTTTTCTGGCGGATGATTCAATAACTTCTCGGCCAGGTGGTTTGTTTCCTCCAAAAAGGACAAGTGAATCTAGTGCATAGAACAAAAGTATTCGAACTATATCCACAGTTCGAGCATCAGTTTCAAAATTCTTTAGAATCACATAAGCTCTATCACAGGAGCTTCGTAGGTTGCAAGCACCACAGACCTGGATGGAAGCAAACTTACATTGTCAGACAGTAGGGAATCAAAACGCCACCTCGAAATCATGTAGAAAAAAAAATGTTTAAAAGAAAAATAAAATCTGATCTCATACATAACCCAATACTAGCTGGTGACAACATTTAACATCATGCTGCGTTAACTAGAATAAATACTAAGAATACACTCTCCAACACTCGCATTTCATTAGTGAGTAAAATCCGCACTTCTATTTATTAGACCGGCATGAGATTTTCATTCACACAATAATAAAGTACTAGCAAAAGATGCAACCTATAAATTGGGACCATAAATATCTTCCGAAAAATTAAAGAAAATGCACTAACACACATACGTCCCCTTCATCTAACTGCAGGTGTGCTCTCAGCCTCTTAGCTGAATTAACAGCTTTACGGAGAAGATTAGGGCACCCTCCCTCAACAACTGCTTGGATTTCGCTCATCGGCAGCAACCTGCACAACATAACAATAAACAAGAGAAATGGTAAAAACAATTATATACCGTTATAAAAAAACTCTCATCATTTGAATTTTATTGAAAATTACAAAATTGTGTATCTCATGTCTTTATGTAACAAAATATTCTGATTTCAAAGTTTTCAGTTAATGTTAACAAAATAAAACAATGTTTTTAATCAGTAAGAGAGAATAGGTAGCCCTCCTTATAATATAATTACTTCATATATACATATACCATTCTTATCATGAACTCTTTCATAGTGAATTTGAGTAGGGAATATTTAGACATACTTCACCATGAAAACCTCCAGCAGAGAAAAAATAAGAAGAACAAATGAAATGAACATCTTCCTAGATTAAAACTAGCTTAAAAATACAAATTTAGAAAATTGGCATCATGCATAAACTGATCTTTGTTTCATTTTTTTTCTTATTTTTCTTCTCTAAAGATACGAACCCCAAAACAACACCAAAAATAACATCAGCTTCATATTTCCCCCATTTATCACCAAACAAACCACAGTAAAAAGGAAAAACTAAGGGCTTGATTGGACTAAACTTTTCATAAATACTTTAAGGAGACAAACGTAAAGACAATAAAACGTTTCTACATATTAGCTTACACGCTAGCTAGCAAATTTTAGCTCATGGAGCAACATAAATAATTTTTTCTCATTTTCACATTGTAAAAGTGTTTAAAGAGAATTCCACCCAAACCAATCCCAAACAAGATCAATTTTCTCGTATCGAAATTTAAAAAAGGACGAGGAGACGAAAACAGACTTTATCAGGTCGTAACGGTCGCGCCCGAAGCTGAGACAAGCGTCCTTGAGAGAGTTCATGTCGGTGTAAAGGCTTACAGTGTTGTCGGAAGAGGAGGGCTTGGAGAGGTAGCCTTTGGCGTTCAAGCGGTCCACGAAGGAGACCCATTCCGACCAGGGGTGGTCGACGGAGGGCAGTGTTTCGGCGGCGGCGGAAGAGGAGGAACTGCGGCGGAGGAATTGCGGTGGCGTGAAGGGAATAGGTTTGAAGAAGATAAAGGAAGAATTAACAGTTACAGGTGCGGTTCGATGGGTACGGAAAATTGCGGTTCCGATTCCATACAGTGCAGACTTAGAAGCTGACATTGTTATGTTTAGTTTTCTCCTTTCTTTCAGAACTGAGGTTTATCTCAATGGATGGAACACAGTCGCAGGGTTTTGAGTTAGGGATGATAAATAATATATCGGTTATATTATTTAATTGGTTTTTAAAGCGTAAAAAGACACATTTCTCATTGTAAATATCCCTTCTAATTTGATAATGTTAAAAAAGATATTTATGAAAATGAGAAAATTTTGGGAAATTTCAAGCAATTATCAATGCATAAATGATATTTAAAATTTTTCCAAATCATAATTGTTTTCTATTATATTATATTAATTTTAAATATTACTTCTTAATTAAATAAATAATTATAGATACACTTTTCATAATGTATTTTGAAAATTATAAATATTCATAAACTAAATAAATATGTATTATGTAACATCCAAAAATAGAGTCTAAAATTATATAATAAAATAATCACATTAAATGATAATATAAATCAGTCTTACGCTAAAGTCGAACGTACGCTTATGGCCGAACGGTCTTACCGAAAGAGTTACAATTTAAGCTGTAGAGATAAGAAAGTCTAACCGAACGGTTTACAAAAGAAAATACTGAAAGGTTTACAAAAGAAAATACCGAACGGTCATATAAAATAAAAGGGGAAAGGTGATCAAACGACCACCTTACTATCATACTAAACTACTGACCGAACGTTCTACTGTTTGATCTTAACTTCTACCTCAACTAGGTTTTCTTCTTCCAGCGCCTCTTCCAACAGCTCGTCTCCTTCTGCTCACATCCACATGGATGATCATTGCAATGACAAAGACGGACGTACAAAACATGACAAGACATGAAACACAGGGTAAGCTTATGAAGTTTAATTCATGTAAAAACATACATCTCACACAATCAAACACACAAGATAAATTTCACTATACGTTTCACGCAAAACCTAATACTAGACTGACTGTCCGGACTGTATGAAATCTGTGTAGCTACGATGTTCGTGCACCCGAGTGATGTAGTAACTGGATACCCTCAACAGCTGCCACCCGAGGTTAGTTCTATCTGTCCAAATTAACCATAAGGACTAGGACCTCCTGCCGTTCCCACACATAACCTACCCTCCTCTACGTGAGGACGAGTACTCACGGAACATCAGGATGAACCGTCAGCTTAGCATGCCCACATTCATACTTTACCAATTCCAATATTCATTCATGAGTCATTCCTCCCCGGAACGCTCGTTCATAATCCACTTTATTTCGTTCATAACATATTTCATCTTCTTTCATTAATAAGACCTCGATGAGATCAATTTGAATAAACTTCTCTGAAGACACTGAATGTCGAACGTTAACTTCGACTCTGAACAAGACCGAACACTTGAAGTGAGACCAAAGGCCTCTAGTCCCAAGCGGATTAAAAATCGAGAGAGAGAGAATCATTGGTTTTAAGAAAGGGAGTGATTAACATAATAATTCTCGAGGACGACTGTAACCAAACGTTTATATACTAAGTGAGCCAATTGGATGAACTGACTCACGAGTTAGACCGAACACCAACACGCCTAGGCCGAGTACTAAAACTCTATGCTGGAACCAATTTAGACATACACTGAGGGACATCAAACAAGGGTACTTAACTGTATCCGGTGAATAAACCGAACGTCAATAAATGTACTTAGCCTTTGAAGGAGCTAAACACCAATAATCATCAAAATGTTAGTCAAAGACTGAACACTATAGTGAGGGAACCCTATTGGGCTTGAACGAACGCTCTTATTATGAAGTTAGCTTAAGAAACTAGAACGAGTGTCTGGTGTAAGACCAAACACTTGCTTAGTACAAACACTTGGTATAGAACCAAATGCTACTAAACTTATAGAGAAGAGACTTGATAAATATACTAAGATACTATTGGAGTAGTGTTTAAGAATAACTAAAATATACAATTACATATATATATATATATATATATATATATATATATATACTTAAGTTTATAACAGAATACCAAGACACAACTATGCTTGGCCGAACGCTTGTGCAAAGTAGTTCGAAATGAAGACGCTCGTCCTCAACTAGGATTCTTTCCAAATGAAAGAATCCAATTCTAACCAAGTTCACTAGAAAAACCGAACGGTCAAGTACCGTTCAGTAACGAACGTACACTTTCATAGGAAAATTTTATACCTAGAAATCATTTATCTCAATTAAATTTCTCAACATTTATCTACATAAGTTCATACATCCATATCATATAAATTTCATATATTTCATACATCAGAACATAGCACAATCATATTTCATTTCCAATCATCAAATCAACGAACGTTCATGAAGCACAATAAACATACAAATTAAATTAAATAAGCTTCCCTTACCTCTGAGCCTGAACGAACGTTCCTAGAGGCAGAAATAAGGTTCGCTTGACTATAATTCCTTCTACCCTCACGCTCAACAATTCTTCAAACTAAACCAAACAAAATACCAAAATGGTTCAGAATGAGACTATACTCATGCAACCAGAAGTTGGTTTGCATGTGCCAGAGAACGAACGACTAAAGGAGAAGAAGAACTTACCAATTCAGAACTCGAAACCGATCGGTTCAAACTGAAGCTCTTGACGCCGGAAGTGCTTCTACGGTGCCTGAATGATGATCGGAGAAGAGAAAGGGTGAGATTTGGTAGAGAGAAGGGAGAGCTTTTAGTGAGAAGTAGGAGAAATGAGAATTTCAGAGTTTGGGAAAGAAGGGTACATGCAGAGAGTGTGACGTGAATTTCTGAAAATCAGTTTTGCTTCTCACATCAAAACGAACGTTCGCTCACCTGCAGACACCTGTCTTCCACTATCTGATTTACAGATCCTCTTTACTTGACACCTGACGTTCGTTCAGAGGATTTTTAGATGTGTTTTTAATGAAGCCTGACATATTATTATTATGACTTCTTTTGTTTAGTAAATATAATGACTGTGATTCATGATTATTGTTATTATTATTATCGTAACAAAATTATTATTGTTATAATAGTTATAAAAATAGAAAAATATTATTAAATTATAAAATTTAAATGACTTTTGTAATATGAAGAGGTACTTGAGTTTAAAAAAACATATTGCTTAAGAATGATAAAATAAAATAAATATATAAATATAAAGTAGTTAAACCTAAAAATTAACCGTTGTAATTAGTAAGAAATTGTGTGAATTAACTTTTTTGATCACGTGGATAGCACGTGGTCCAAAAGCTAAAACCCTGTGTGCGTGGATCCACGAAACCCACATAAACCCTTTCAACTGAACGACCGAAGCCATCGTTGGACAGTGAGAGTCAGAGATCTGATTCAAATCTCCGACGCGACGCTATGAGAAGGGTACCCTCCATTCTGTTCAGAACGCTCGCCGCCCGACGCGCCACCTCCTACGTCGTCCAAAGCCGCCTTCTCCACGGCAGACCCACCACCGCCGACCACTCCCACCGTCGCCGCTTCTCCTACCTCCTCGCTCCCTTTGCCGCCGCGTCTCTCGGATTCGCCGGCGCCCTCTTCTCCCAGGAAGTCCTCGCTAAGGAGCCTCCGCCGCCCGAGGCCCTTCCACGCGAGGTCGTTCTTTACCAGTTCGAGGCTTGCCCTTTCTGCAACAAAGTCAAAGGTTAAACCTAACCGCCATCTAACCGTTGAATCGTATCATGTTAGGTTGATCGTCACTTCTAAGAATTTTAGATGAATTAAATATTCATGGATTTGTCATGCTGTAACTGAAGTTGTATTTTTGGTAAGTGTGATATAGGTCGAGAGAGGAAATTCATTGAGGAAGAATTTCGAAAACCTTAATGAAAAGTCTCAATCTAATGGTTGGATTTATGGAATTCAATGTAGTTTGATAGTTGGTTAATAGGTCGTTTATGTTAAATTACATGTCCAAAGGCTACTTCTAGATTGTTTGTTTCCATGTTTCAGCGTACAAGACGCGATTTTAGAAACTAATAGTTTTGGCGAAGACATCCCAAACACGTGGAAGGATGTGGGTTGAGTGGTAGGAGTTTGTTCCTCGGATTTCATGGATTCCTCTAGAGTTGTGTCAGAATTTTGAATATAAGCTTGGAGACATAAAAATAGAAAGGGGGTGGAAAAATGACACATTGACAGTCAGATCACTCTTTTTAAATGAGGCTGTATTCACCCTATTGATTTATCTCTTGCATATAGTGGAGTGCATGGGCTAGGATGCTGTTCGTTTATTTTTCTATACATTTAATTTTATTTATTTTCTGTAGCTTGCATCCCGATTTGGCAGTTTAAGTTTCCTGGTTTCTGTTACTGATATTTTTAATTGCTTTACCAGCATTTTTGGACTACTATGATATACCTTACAAAGTTGTGGAAGTCAACCCTCTTAGCAAAAAAGAAATCAAATGGTCTGAATATCAGAAAGTGCCAATATTGATGGTAGATGGCGAGCAGCTAAATGATTCATCAGGTTTCTACATTTTTCCTTGAAATTCGTTTGTAAAGTTTATCATGGACTTGTGCCTATTGAACCACTGTAATTTGGTTTTGTTTTGCAGCTATAATTGATAAGCTGGGACTTAAGATTCTGTCGAAGAAAATTCCAGAGTCAACTTCTGAGGATGAAGAGACAAAATGGCGACGGTAGGGTTTTCTTTCTTTTGGCTTTGTTTTATTTTGTAATCAAGCACATGTCTAATAAACGTAAGAGGGTGAAGTGGCAGAAAAATTCCTTTGATAGTATGATTGAATTTCATTTTTTCCATTTATAAGAAGCGATTTCAGTTTCACTCTTTCATTTTTGAACCAATTTAAAAAGAGAGATTGGTGGTGTGACCGAAAGACAAACCTTTCTTTCTGCCTCAGTTTCTCTGCCTTTTGGTTTTACCTTTTAGGTTTAAAGAAAATATATTTACTGATGACTTTAAAACATTTGACTTATTTTTTTACATGAAGCTTCCACATATAAATGCATTGTGCTATTCTTCTAGCAATACTTGATCATTTATCCTTTATGTAAAAAACAGTATAATTTAAGTTGGTCCTCCCTTTGTTTGTGATATAGTTAACTTTTTGGCTTTCTTTATGTGCAAGATTTGATTTCAGCCCTCTTTTATTGCACATTTGTGTTAGGAATCTTATGTATCTATACGGGGTTAGATTTTAATCAACCTAATTTTCCAATTGATTAGTTTTGATTCTCTTGATTTCTAACGTTGGTTTAGTCTTTCCAACAATAAGTGCTACTACGGTTTGATCTGGCAACACCCCCAATAAATGCTTTTTGTTGGCTACTCTTATTCTTTTTACTCTAGCTCTACCCCTAATTGCTGTAAATACCATTCATTTGAGTAAGAAAAGTAGGTGTAGAGTGTGTATATATCAGTACCAGCCAACTTGTGTTTTGGGGGCACTGATGTTTAGTAAAATGCTCAGTTTGGCATCCATTGTTTGTTCTTAAATTTGTACACCCAAATACTTTTACAATTGGGTTGGATTGCAAGATCCAATATGACAACTTGAGTTGCTGTCAGTAATATTTCCATGTTTGAGAAAAGTAAAAAAATAAATTAGGGTGAAGTAATTGAATCGATTTTAGCTTTAGAATGTATATCTAAAAGAGGCTAATTTGACTTTCTCTTCTGAAATAGGTGGGTTGATAACCATTTAGTGCATGTTCTGTCACCAAATATTTATCGAAATACCACTGAAGCACTTGAATCCTTTGAGTATATTACTAGCAACGGTAAGTTGATCCCGACCTTTGATTAACAAATATATTCTCTTATTATTTTTTTACACTTATTCTAGCATGTGCTATGGTTTATGCGTCTTTCCACTAAGTTTTCTGTTGTATGGATTGCCCTTTTCATATAAGCATGGATTTTGAACAAAATCTGTATTGATGAAACAACTAAGCATAAACTATTAGGTGAAGACACTTGAACGATTCTGTATTACAAGGTTATAAATAGCAGATAACGGCTAATGAATGTGAGCAAAACATCTGCCGTATAAATATGGCAGATGGCATGGAGTCTCATGATGGAAGCCATGGTGGGCAATGATTATCATCACATAACATAAAGGCAATATCAAAAGACAAAATGACACATAATCATTATCCTCATCCCCCTCTTCTAGCCCAATATACTCCTGACATTTCCAAATTAACATTTAACAATCCTTCTAATTTTTCCTCCTCACAACTGTCTTCTCCAGATTCTTCAACTAGAACCTTTTTTCTTAGTTGAAGAAGTTTCTAAAAACAATACTTTCAATTTGCACTGTAATAAACAGCAATAATTAGAAATATATATTTTGTAAAAAGGAGAAATTAAACCCAGAGAACTTTAACAAAATACATAACCAAAAAGGAAAAGAACTTTTGTAAAATGAAGAAAGAGAGTAAAAAAACTGATAACAGACAGTAAAATGAAAAGCACCAAATTGAGAAGGAGCATTTGTTATAAAAGAGGAAAGGAGAGAAAAAAATATTAGAAAATGTAAAAATAGAACCAAATAGAAAATGAACATTTGCAAAAAGAGAAAAGGAGAGAACTGAAATGGAGGACTATAAAAAGGAACAAAATGTGATGAATATCTGAAAGGAGGGCGCAAAAACAAAGCAGAAATGGAATGAAGAAGAATAAAAAAGAAACAGGAGGAAAAAAAAAAGAAAAATGAAAAAAAAAAAACTGTATTAATGGATCATCTGAAAAGTTGCTGGAGTTCAGGTCGCCCACAGGTCATTGGTTCAGGTCTCTGGCACAGGTGACAAAATAAACTTCGTGAAGGAGAAAGCTGCACTAGCATTCTCTCAAGTTTAGTGTTATGGTGATTTCAAGGTTGAGCATAGAATTTGGTCGTACTTTTATATTGAAGAACCAATGGCAGCCCAGAGTATTTTTGTCTAGAGGTAAAGAGCCACCTCTTCAGTATGGTTTAATCCAGAGCTTACATTTACTTAATCGCTGGTTGACTCATCCTAAAAGCAAAAGAGCTTCCTAGACAACTTTAGGAACAGAGACAAATGATAAGGAAAAGATGAAAACATATTGAACAGCGGAAAGGTGATGTAACTTGGACAGTTATAAAGAGGATGGTGATAATGTATGGAGTGAATAATTTTGCAAATTGCAATTGGGAAGTTTGGAAAGCTGGTACAGAGAAGGTGAAAAAGCTGGAGTAGGTGCCGAAACATTGGTCTTGGGGCCTGGTTGTGATGCTGAAACTTTATATGGACGACAATGATAAGTTTTCCAAGGAAGAGCAACGGCTGAGGTTGATAGGTAGAGGAAGAGAAGGACAAACACTGTCTTCTTGTAGGGGTGAAGTATGTAGAATCATCAAGGAAGATATGTTCTGAAAAAAAGAAGACAATTTAATGAAGGAAGGTAACACCTATAGTCTTTTTGTGCATTGGATATCCTATGTAGATAGTGTTGGAGATCTCACGTTTTTTCCAGATTATAGTTTATAAGTGAGTGTAAAACATGTTTTACAAGGTGATTTTTTAAAGTTGAATTAGATTTCTTTCTATAATATATATTTGATTGCACTAACAATGACCTTGGCTTTCCTAGAGAAAGATAATGAACAAAACCAAAAGCTGGAAGTTTATGTGTAAAGTAGACTTGTCGTGCAACAAAATGATATTAGGAATCTAAATATTTAGCTGAGGATGACACTTTTGATTAAATAACAAATTGTAAGAATTGTATTTGCCCAAAGCCAAAAGTGCTGGAACTTTATTTGTAAAGTAGACTCGTTAGGAAAGAAACCGAGATGAGGAATTTAAATATTTATCACGGGATGACGCTCTTTTGTAGTGGGACACCATCTTTTGGTTTGTTGTAGAAGATACTTAAGAGGATATCACCTGGGCTTCACTCTTGACTTGTACAAAAATGTATATGCATTGTCACTAAAGTAAACTTTCAAGGTTTACTTTGTGTCTAATGTAATGCTGTGATACATAAATGTGTATGCATGCATGTCCGCACACTAACACATCAGCTTTCTCCCATTTTGACTTGTACAACAGTTCACACATCAAGAATCATCATTTTTTTAAAACACATTTTCCTAGTCTGTTGTGTCTTTACTTAATCTATACTAGTAGTCCATTTTCTTTTGGTGGGCAAAATTAACTCTTTTGATGATTTTCTTTTATCTCTTTCTTTTCCCTAATGTAAATGCAAAGAACACATACAAAGACTTAATTTTTCTTCAAAACACTCTCTCCTTGCGTACCGTTCTTTATCTACTTTCAGCCCACTCATATCATGTTTACAAACGCTTAATTTACTTTATTTAAACTTCTTTCGTTATCCCTGATCTATTAAACCTAAAAATTAATGTGTTGTGATATTTTGTTTATATTGGTGCTTTTAGGCAATTTCAGCTACATAGAAAAACTTTCGGTGAAGTTTGCTGGAGCTGCAGCTATGTATTTTGTGTCTAAGAATCTGAAGAAGAAATACAACATAACTGATGAACGTGCTGCACTTTATGAGGCAGCAGAAACATGGGTAAAAGCTCTAAATGGCCGAGATTTCCTTGGTATGTACTCTTCAATAGTGTTAAGGAGATTATAATATCAATGCTAAAACATCCATTAACTGTATGATGCATGATTACTTTTCTGTCTTTTCAGGAGGGTCTAAACCTAACTTAGCCGACCTGGCGGTTTTTGGGGTTTTAAAACCCATACGCTATTTGACGTCTGGCAAGGATATGGTGGAGCACACTCGTATTGGTGAGTGGTATGCAAGAATGGAGAGTGCTGTTGGAGAACCTTCCAAGANTGGAATTCAATGTAGTTTGATAGTTGGTTAATAGGTCGTTTATGTTAAATTACATGTCCAAAGGCTACTTCTAGATTGTTTGTTTCCATGTTTCAGCGTACAAGACGCGATTTTAGAAACTAATAGTTTTGGCGAAGACATCCCAAACACGTGGAAGGATGTGGGTTGAGTGGTAGGAGTTTGTTCCTCGGATTTCATGGATTCCTCTAGAGTTGTGTCAGAATTTTGAATATAAGCTTGGAGACATATAAATAGAAAGGGGGTGGAAAAATGACACATTGACAGTCAGATCACTCTTTTTAAATGAGGCTGTATTCACCCTATTGATTTATCTCTTGCATATAGTGGAGTGCATGGGCTAGGATGCTGTTCGTTTATTTTTCTATACATTTAATTTTATTTATTTTCTGTAGCTTGCATCCCGATTTGGCAGTTTAAGTTTCCTGGTTTCTGTTACTGATATTTTTAATTGCTTTACCAGCATTTTTGGACTACTATGATATACCTTACAAAGTTGTGGAAGTCAACCCTCTTAGCAAAAAAGAAATCAAATGGTCTGAATATCAGAAAGTGCCAATATTGATGGTAGATGGCGAGCAGCTAAATGATTCATCAGGTTTCTACATTTTTCCTTGAAATTCGTTTGTAAAGTTTATCATGGACTTGTGCCTATTGAACCACTGTAATTTGGTTTTGTTTTGCAGCTATAATTGATAAGCTGGGACTTAAGATTCTGTCGAAGAAAATTCCAGAGTCAACTTCTGAGGATGAAGAGACAAAATGGCGACGGTAGGGTTTTCTTTCTTTTGGCTTTGTTTTATTTTGTAATCAAGCACATGTCTAATAAACGTAAGAGGGTGAAGTGGCAGAAAAATTCCTTTGATAGTATGATTGAATTTCATTTTTTCCATTTATAAGAAGCGATTTCAGTTTCACTCTTTCATTTTTGAACCAATTTAAAAAGAGAGATTGGTGGTGTGACCGAAAGACAAACCTTTCTTTCTGCCTCAGTTTCTCTGCCTTTTGGTTTTACCTTTTAGGTTTAAAGAAAATATATTTACTGATGACTTTAAAACATTTGACTTATTTTTTTACATGAAGCTTCCACATATAAATGCATTGTGCTATTCTTCTAGCAATACTTGATCATTTATCCTTTATGTAAAAAACAGTATAATTTAAGTTGGTCCTCCCTTTGTTTGTGATATAGTTAACTTTTTGGCTTTCTTTATGTGCAAGATTTGATTTCAGCCCTCTTTTATTGCACATTTGTGTTAGGAATCTTATGTATCTATACGGGGTTAGATTTTAATCAACCTAATTTTCCAATTGATTAGTTTTGATTCTCTTGATTTCTAACGTTGGTTTAGTCTTTCCAACAATAAGTGCTACTACGGTTTGATCTGGCAACACCCCCAATAAATGCTTTTTGTTGGCTACTCTTATTCTTTTTACTCTAGCTCTACCCCTAATTGCTGTAAATACCATTCATTTGAGTAAGAAAAGTAGGTGTAGAGTGTGTATATATCAGTACCAGCCAACTTGTGTTTTGGGGGCACTGATGTTTAGTAAAATGCTCAGTTTGGCATCCATTGTTTGTTCTTAAATTTGTACACCCAAATACTTTTACAATTGGGTTGGATTGCAAGATCCAATATGACAACTTGAGTTGCTGTCAGTAATATTTCCATGTTTGAGAAAAGTAAAAAAATAAATTAGGGTGAAGTAATTGAATCGATTTTAGCTTTAGAATGTATATCTAAAAGAGGCTAATTTGACTTTCTCTTCTGAAATAGGTGGGTTGATAACCATTTAGTGCATGTTCTGTCACCAAATATTTATCGAAATACCACTGAAGCACTTGAATCCTTTGAGTATATTACTAGCAACGGTAAGTTGATCCCGACCTTTGATTAACAAATATATTCTCTTATTATTTTTTTACACTTATTCTAGCATGTGCTATGGTTTATGCGTCTTTCCACTAAGTTTTCTGTTGTATGGATTGCCCTTTTCATATAAGCATGGATTTTGAACAAAATCTGTATTGATGAAACAACTAAGCATAAACTATTAGGTGAAGACACTTGAACGATTCTGTATTACAAGGTTATAAATAGCAGATAACGGCTAATGAATGTGAGCAAAAAATCTGCCGTATAAATATGGCAGATGGCATGGAGTCTCATGATGGAAGCCATGGTGGGCAATGATTATCATCACATAACATAAAGGCAATATCAAAAGACAAAATGACACATAATCATTATCCTCATCCCCCTCTTCTAGCCCAATATACTCCTGACATTTCCAAATTAACATTTAACAATCCTTCTAATTTTTCCTCCTCACAACTGTCTTCTCCAGATTCTTCAACTAGAACCTTTTTTCTTAGTTGAAGAAGTTTCTAAAAACAATACTTTCAATTTGCACTGTAATAAACAGCAATAATTAGAAATATATATTTTGTAAAAAGGAGAAATTAAACCCAGAGAACTTTAACAAAATACATAACCAAAAAGGAAAAGAACTTTTGTAAAATGAAGAAAGAGAGTAAAAAAACTGATAACAGACAGTAAAATGAAAAGCACCAAATTGAGAAGGAGCATTTGTTATAAAAGAGGAAAGGAGAGAAAAAAATATTAGAAAATGTAAAAATAGAACCAAATAGAAAATGAACATTTGCAAAAAGAGAAAAGGAGAGAACTGAAATGGAGGACTATAAAAAGGAACAAAATGTGATGAATATCTGAAAGGAGGGCGCAAAAACAAAGCAGAAATGGAATGAAGAAGAATAAAAAAGAAACAGGAGGAAAAAAAAAAGAAAAATGAAAAAAAAAAAACTGTATTAATGGATCATCTGAAAAGTTGCTGGAGTTCAGGTCGCCCACAGGTCATTGGTTCAGGTCTCTGGCACAGGTGACAAAATAAACTTCGTGAAGGAGAAAGCTGCACTAGCATTCTCTCAAGTTTAGTGTTATGGTGATTTCAAGGTTGAGCATAGAATTTGGTCGTACTTTTATATTGAAGAACCAATGGCAGCCCAGAGTATTTTTGTCTAGAGGTAAAGAGCCACCTCTTCAGTATGGTTTAATCCAGAGCTTACATTTACTTAATCGCTGGTTGACTCATCCTAAAAGCAAAAGAGCTTCCTAGACAACTTTAGGAACAGAGACAAATGATAAGGAAAAGATGAAAACATATTGAACAGCGGAAAGGTGATGTAACTTGGACAGTTATAAAGAGGATGGTGATAATGTATGGAGTGAATAATTTTGCAAATTGCAATTGGGAAGTTTGGAAAGCTGGTACAGAGAAGGTGAAAAAGCTGGAGTAGGTGCCGAAACATTGGTCTTGGGGCCTGGTTGTGATGCTGAAACTTTATATGGACGACAATGATAAGTTTTCCAAGGAAGAGCAACGGCTGAGGTTGATAGGTAGAGGAAGAGAAGGACAAACACTGTCTTCTTGTAGGGGTGAAGTATGTAGAATCATCAAGGAAGATATGTTCTGAAAAAAAGAAGACAATTTAATGAAGGAAGGTAACACCTATAGTCTTTTTGTGCATTGGATATCCTATGTAGATAGTGTTGGAGATCTCACGTTTTTTCCAGATTATAGT